TGAGCTGAAATCAAGAGTTGGACACTCAACCAACTGAGCCACCCAGGTGCCCCTAGTTTCACCCAAAATTTTAATCTTCATTAGAATAGATAAGACTATAGAATGTAATGTTGTATTTCCTTAGTTTGCTCTTACATACTGACTTTGATAGAGATAAACAGATTTGCCCAAACTAAGGAATAAGCTTCTTTCACAGTGGAGCTGCTATAATTTATCGAGCCTTTTCTTACTCTAACATCTTAATTACATAAGCTCTTGGTTGATCTCTCTTGAAACTTAAAGGTTTTTTTTTTCCTCTTTCTAAGTTGGCTAGAAATCTTGTGATACTGCTTTCATCAGTAGTTTCACAAATTTTTCTTCCTTTTTGTTTTTATTTAGATACTTACATTTACTAACAGATGGGCTGAATTTGTTCTATTTCTAGGTTTAATTTTAATTTTTTTTTTTTGAGAAAAAACATGTACAAGCTGGGGGAGGGGCAAAGGGAGAGAGAGAAGCGGATTCCTCTACTGAGTGCAGAGCCCAGTGCGAGCCCAATGCAGGACCCCAAGATCATGACCTGAACTGAAGACAGATATCCACCTGACTGAGCAACCCAGGGGTCCCTCTAGGTTTGATTTTAAAAATTAAAAATTTGATTAAAAAATTGTATATACAGCATTATTTGAATAAAATTAGGTTCCCAGTCATATGTACACCAAGTTTCAAGTCCTTAAGACCAAGATTTCAGATTATGGTAAAAAAAAAAAAAGTTCTTCTCATTATCATATCTTCAAAAATCAGAAAAATATATTTAACTGTATATAAATGTTACTGTATATGTCCTGTCTTTTATGTGCTTATGTCATATTTCCATTAGATACTCAATTCCTTGTCTACTAATACTTTTGTTGTGATAAAATGGATTTGAAGATCACTTCAAAGAAAAGTAACTTTTCAGTTGATTTTCTTCTGCCTTTCTTTCCCTTTTTAAATTTTCCTTTATCAAACTGAAAAGGTTATTGACAAATATAGCAGTTGGGCTCTGCAGTTTTTATTGTGGGTAAATACTAAACAGGGAACTTTTATTTTATTTATTTATTTTTAGGTAGTCTCCAAGCCCAGCGGGGAGCCCAGCGTGGGTCTTGAACTCATGACCCTGAGATCAAGGCCTGACCTGAAATCGAGTTGGACACTTAACTGACTGAGCCACCTAGGCATCTCCAAAATATAGGGAACTTCTAAAACAAAATAATCTATATTGCTTTATGTATACTTCTTTAAGAACTAGTAACTCAGTATTTGATGTAGATTGTGAGTTTTTATTTAACTTTTTATCATGGACATTTTGAAGAGTACACAAATCAGGATCCTTTCCACAATGCATCTGATATGTCTCTTAAGTTTCTTTTAATTTATGTTAGTGTCCACTCGTTTTTTTTTTTAACTCCATGCTGTATGTATATATTTCTTTAAATTTTATTTTATTATGTTAATCACCATACATCATTACATCATTAGTTTTTGATGCAGTGTTCCATGATTCATTGTTTGCATATAACACCCAGTGCTCCATGCAGTACGTGCCCTCCTTAATACCCATCCATGCTGTGTATTTATTGTAGAAACTGAGTTCTAAATTTGGCTGGCCGCATACTTAAGGCTTCATTTCACATTTGTCTAATGATTTGGTTAGATTTGGGTCCAGTTTTCTTGACATACCACATGAGGAGGCATATGTCTTCTCATCCGACTTTTAGTAAGATTGGTTAGTGCGTGTGTATCTACCAAAATACTTGTAGCAGCCCACCTACCCATCAGTAGTAGAATGGGTAAATAAACTATTTGGGTGTGATGGAATACTCCATAGCAATAAAAAGGGACAAATTAACTGATAGAACCAACACTGCTGATGTTTGTCACAGAAATAATGTTGAGTGAAAAGAGTTGACACAATAGAGAGCCTGCTGTATGATTTCAGATACAATTTCAGATATAAGAAGTTCAAAGATGGGCAGAATTGTCTGATTTAAACATATTGTTAAGACCAGTGAAACCGTACCACCTTATTAAAAAGTTCTTTTCCCCCCCTCTGAATGAGATAGCTCTCCTTAATCCTATACTCTGTTTCCATAGGTATTAGGGTATATTTCCGTATCTTATTACATTGGTTTGTCTGTTCATATGCCTGGTATCACATTATTATTTTTTATTTTTTTTTAAAGATTTTATTTATTTATTTGAGAGAGAGAGAATGAGAGAGAGCACATGAGAGAGGGGAGGGTCAGAGGGAGAAGCAGACTCCCTGCCGAGCAGGGAGCCCGATGTGGGACTCAATCCAGGGACTCCAGGATCATGACCTGAGCCGAAGGCAGTTGCTTAACCAACTGAGCCACCCAGGCGCCCCTATTATTATTTTTTAAAGATTTTATTTATTTGAGAGAGAATGAGAGAGAGCACATGAGATGGGAGAGGGTCAGAGGGAGAAGCAGACTCCCTGCCGAGCAGGGAGCCCGATGTGGGACTCAATCCAGGGACTCCAGGATCATGACCTGAGCCGAAGGCACTTGCTTAACCAACTGAGCCACCCAGGTGCCCCTGTTAATCACATTATTTTATTTTATTTTATTATTATTATTTTTTAAAGATTTTATTTATTTAACAGAGAGAGACATAGCGAGAGCAGGAACACAAGCAGGGGGAGTGGGAGAGGGAGAAGCAGGCTTCCCGCAGAGCGGGAAGCCCGATGTGGGACTCGATCCCAGGACCCTGGGATCATGACCTGAGCCGAAGGCAGACGCTTAACGACTGAGCCACCCAGGCGCCCTATCACATTATTTTAATGATAGAAATTTATAATATATTTTTTTGTTTTCGTTTTTTTTAGATTTTAAGTAATCTCTACACCCAAGATGGGGCTCAAACTTGCAACCCTGAGATCAAGAGTTGCGTGCTCTGCCGAGTAAGCCATCCAGGCCCGCCCTCCCCTTTTAAAAATTATTTGTTAATTATTTTATTTATTTATTTTTAAGTAGGCTCTATGGCCAACGTGGGGCTTGAACTCGCAACCTCAAGATCAAGGGTTACATGCTGTACTGACTGAGCCAGCCATGAGTCCCTAGAAGTTTTAGAATATGTTTTAATATCTGACAGGGCTCATACTTGTCTCCAGTCATTGCTCTGCCTTTTGAGGATTTTTCTAGCTATTCTTGCTTATTTGTTCTTTGAAATTACCTTTATAATTAACTTGTTTTGCTTCAGGAAAAAATAAAACCCTAAGGGTATTTCATTAGGATTGCATTAAATTAATAGATTATTTTAGGGAGAACTGGTCTCTTTTTGATGTTGAAGTGTCTTTCCAAGAACATGGTTTTTTGTTTTTTGTTTTAATTTTAATTTTTTTCCGAGAATATGGTTTGTCTTTCCTGTTTGTTCACTTTGCTTCTCTCAGTAATGTTTTAGACTTATATAGGTTTCCTATTGTTTATTGTTAAATTTAAGCCTATTTTAATGTTTGCTGTTGTAAGTGGGATCTTATTTTCTGTTTTTACCCATTTTTTCCATTCGTTATTTCTTTTTACTGGTGATTATTGTATATATGAGGGTTTGATGTATGTGTTTTATTTTTTATATATATATATTTTTTAAGATTTTATTTATTTATCAGAGAGAGACAGAGGCAGGCAGAGGGAGAAGTAGGCTCCTTGCTGAGCAGGGAGCCCGATGTGGGACTCGATCCCAGGACCCTGGGATCATGACCTGAGCCGAAGGCAGAGGCTTAACCGACTGAGCCACCCAGGCGCCCCTAGTTTTATATCCTGCTATTCAACTACAATTTCTTACTGTTTGGCATAATTTTTCCATTGATTCTTTGGGATTTTTCGATTAAATATATTATTTGCAAATTGAAGTAGGGATAGTGTCTCCCTGTAACCCTTACACCCATCCAAAGTTGTTAAGCCTCTAATTGCTTTCTCTTGTCTAACTGCATTGACAAATACCTATATAATTTTATATAGTGGTAGAATCCTTATTTTCTTGGCTGTAGTGGGAAAGTCTTTAGTGTATCCCCACTAAGATGCTGGCTAAAAAAAAAAAAATATATATATATATATATATATATGTATGTATGGATGTATGTATATGTACGTACACACATATAAGATGTAATTTACATACCATAATATTTACTTACTGTAACTGTACAATTCAGTGATTTTTAAAGTAAATTTGTAGGGTTGTAGAACATTTTTGTTATTCCCAGAAGTTCCCTGTGTCTGTCCTTTTACAGTAGCTTATATGTTGACAGATATAGGAGGATATATTTATATGCATGTGTATTTATATGCAAATATGTATATCCTATGCCTCTGTATTTTTATCATTTAAGGAATTATCCATTATTTACTATTTCATTGTTTTTAATACAAATGAATGTTTCAAAGTTTTCTTAGTTTTAAAGATTTTATTTATTTATTTGAGAAACAGAATGAGAGAGAGAGAGAGCATGAGCAAGGGGAGAGGCAGATGGAGAGGGAGAAGCAGACTCTCGCTGAGCAGGGAGCCCAGCGCGGGGCTCGATCCCAGGACCCCGAGATTACCACGCGAGAGAAGGCAGACACTCAACCAACTGAGCCACCCAGGCGCCCCACAAAGTTTTCTTTTTGATGTATGTTTTCAGTCAGCAGGCTCAAATTGTTGTCTGTCTTGGCATAGTGAAAGTGAAGTTTCCTTAAAGTGCGGTGTTTTGTTTTTTTTTTAAAGATTTTATTTATTTGACAGAGAGAGACACAGCGAGAAAGGGAACACAGACAGGGGGAGTGGGGGAGGGAGAAGCAGGCTTCCTACTGAGCAGGGAGCCCGATGTGGGGCTCAATCCCAGGACCCCGGGATCATGACCTGAGCCGAAGGCAGACGCTTAACGACTGAGCCACCCAGGCGCCCCGGTGTTAGTTTTTCTATGAGTAAAGGAAGATAACATTTCATATGCTGAAACATTTGTCCCGTATTGTTTGTTGTAGAGGATGGCATTCCCTGTGGATATGCTGGATAATTGCAGTCATGAGGAATTGGAAAATTCTGCTGAAGATTATATGTCAGATCTAAGATGTGGGGACCCTGAAAACCCTGAACGTTTTTCTCTTCTCAATATTACGGTAAGGTGTGCGGAGGTGATTTTTGTCAACCTTTTCAGTTGAGTTTACATGTGAAATCAGTATCTTCTTATTTTTTATCATTTAAAAATGTTAACTAATTCCTTTTGAAATTTGCATCAGAAGACTCTTCAGTAAAATGGTTAAATATTGATTGGTTAGTACAGCAGCATGATCAAGTTTTTAAAAAAGACACTCTATAGGTTATTGCTTAATATTTATATTTTGCCTTTATTTTTTTTTTTTTTAAGATTTTATTCATTTATTTGACAGAGAGCGATACAGCGAGAGAGGGAACACAAGCAGGGGGGAGCGGGAGAGGGAGAAGCCGGCCCCCCGTGGAGCAGGGAGCTGGACGCCAAGCAGGGCCCATCCCAGGACCCCAGGACCATGACCCAAGCCAAAGGCAGACGCTCAACAACTGAGCCACCCAGACGCCCCTATATTTTGCCTTTAAAATTACATAAAAGTTTTTTGCTAAGATGGGTTACTGTATTTGAGCTAACTAAATTAAATTTACTTTGGATTTGGAATTTGTGATTTTAGAAATTTTTTAATAAAAAAATCAGCAAAACATTAATTACACATTTTTGTATCACAAATATTCCTTTTTCTATAAAACTTCCTAATTAGTAAGTGTGATATATTGTGATGGAAAGATCGTTAGCATTCTACTGTGAACTAGGTGGTTCTCAAGCCTCTCTAGGCCTCAGAGTTTTCTTTTAGAGAATGATGTTTAAAGGCTTCTTTAAAGTCTGTTCTTCTAGGGCGCCTGGGTGGCTCAGATGGTTAAGCGTCTGTCTTCGGCTCAGGTCATGATCCCAGCGTCCTGGGATCAAGTCCCGCATCGGGCTCCCTGCTCCTTGGGAGCCTGCTTCTCCCTCTGCCTCTCTCTCTGTCTCTCATGAATAAATAAATAAAATCTTTAAAAAAAAAAAAAAAAGTCTGTTCTTCTAAAGCACCAAGATTTTACAATTTATTCCTCTAAAGGACTAGTATTTTATAATTATCTGAATTGTGATATCAGTAAATGGGAATTATGGTCCGATTAATGAAGGTAGAAAAACCTTAAAGTATCATATGTATCTCAGTGGAAAAACAAATATACCTATCTGATGTCTTTTACTATAAAATGGAATTTTCCCCCTGAAGTTGTCTCAATAACAGATGATAAACTGTAGTTGTTTTTTAATGAGTTTATGTACCGTATCATGCCTTTGTTTTTATTCAGATGTGTGGCTAGAGCACAGTAGTAATACTTATTGAAATAAACTTCAATTTTTTCCCCAAGATAGTAAAATTCCTGCAAAAGGGAAGTCTGATTTACTTCTTTTGAGCCTAGAAATATCTTCTATGAAATTAAGTTATATAATTAGCATTAATGTAGAGAAAGCTTAATATTTTTATAGAAGCCTGGTGTTTTTGCCCTATATTTTCTTAACGGAATTCACAAATCTTTAATCAATGTCATTTCAGATTCCTATTAGCCTGTCAAATGTAGGCTTTGTACCTCTTTATGGTGGAGATCAGACCGAGAAAATTCTTGCTCTTTTTGCACCTGAGGACTCACTCACAGGTTTCTTTTCTGCTTAATCTTTATAACTTGAGGAATTTTTCTCCAATTAGATATTTATTAAAAAGTAGCTGTGTGAAGGAATTTAAAAAATTGCTTCAAACTAAATTTCTGGAAAATAAAATTTTCAGTTGCTTGTAATTAAATGTTTAATGAGTGAAATAAAATAAAAATGGTATAAATGGGGCCACATTGTATTATGAAATGTGGGTATATTTAAGATTACCTGTATAAACTTTTTCAAATAGTAATATTGTATACTGTTAAGTCTTAAATGTTAATAATCATTTATTCTGTTTTAGCTGTGGCACTTTACCTTGCTGATCAATGGTGGGCTATTGATGATATTGTGAAAACATCTGTCCCTTCTAGAGAAGGGCTTAAGCAGGTAACAAGAGCCGATAATTTAAAAGTGTTTCTTCTGAGGTCATATCACAATATGTTTCCCATAAACATTGATAATTGTTGAAAATATTGAGCACTTCTCCATTGTAGTATAACCAGGTTGTATTAAACCCTTAAGAGCTTCACTGTTACGATGAAAGTGGTAGTCTGATTGCGCTTCCTCAATTTTATGTGGTTCTAAAAGTATCTGAGAATTGGTGAGGAAGAGTGAATACTCATTGGTTACTTGAACTGTAGTGACCTGTATCGACGTTAGCTTCTGATTTTCTTACAGGGTAGAGAGAAAGCTAGTTCTGTATGTGTGTTTGCCTAGGTTGTCTGTCTCTAAGAGAGACTAACCACGGAACTTGCCTATTGGTAGGGCTATTTTAGGTGGTCTATTTTCAGGTGTTCTAATCAGTGGACTAGAAGGGAGATCCTCAGTAGCATACTGCCAAACTTTGTCCTTTTTTCTGTCCTGGTCATCATTTTATCGTTTACTTAGAGGAAGACACGGATGGTATGCTGATCAATTCTGCCTGCCACAGTGCTGAATGGGAGAACAAGTCTGTGAAAGGCAGAATTGAGAAACAAAGAGCAGGGTCTAACATGATGAAAAGTAGTACCCATGGGTTCAAAAAATTAACTGCACATGTACACCATGAAGAACAAGCTAAAACAGCACATAATGAAAATGATTGGGCTTTAGTTAATTAGAAGTAAAACGAAGGTAAGCAAAAAAGCTAATAAAAAAACTTGAGCTTATAGAGCAAAGCCCCACTGTCTTAGCAGCATCTTCAATGTTTAGTTTTGTAGTATCTGCAAGTCCCAATGGAGAGATGTTAAGGATCTGGAGCAGTTTCAAGGGAGAGGACTGGAATGGCCAGAGTACCCCAAATTGCATTAGATCAGTCTTTTCCTTCAGTTGTTCCTTTGTTCCTATGGTATGGAATTTAGGGGAATGTCATGGCTTTCTTCAAATATTTTTAGGCTGTGTGGCTCCAGGGTATCAAAGTGTAGTCTTTGGCTATGGTCAGCTCAGTATGAAGAAGAATTTTACACTGGTCGGAGCTGTTCAGGGAAGGAATGGGTTGCCCTGAAAGCTAGTGGGCTTTGTCGTTTCCTTTGTCGTTTGGTATCTGACATCCCCTAGTGTGTAGTATGGTTAAGGCTTGCTTGCTTGCTTTCTTTTTTTTTGAGAATAGTGTGTGTACAGTTAATGCTTGTCTTTCTTCACTCACCTAATTAGAGGGCACTCTCGTGCTTCTTTTAAGGACACTTGAGGGGAAGTAGACTTTACGGATAGAACTCTTGTTTTTAGTGGTGAAAAATGTCTGTGGGGGAAAAGCCCCAACAGCCGATGTCAGAAAGTTGGTGAGGGGGTCCTGGTGACCATGTGGCCTTGCATGTAGGAAGTGAGGCTCTGCTTCCGTTCTGTGATTGCCCCAAGTTTGCTTTTACCAGATTTGCTTGTGCCACTGTCATGACTCATCTGATCTGGCAGAAGGTATGTGTGTGGGGCATGCTGGCTACTCCTTACAGTAGACAACCAAGACATGACTGTTAAATGCACATTTTACCTGGGAAGATGAGACAGATTCCTTTCCAAGAGCATAATTATGGCCTTGCTCATCAAATAAGGCAATTGTTCTTAAAGTCTTAGAGGATAACATGAGGCTTTTTGTTTCCTTTCTTATTTACTATTTAAGCTAAAATGAGGTGAAGAAGAGTTGAGGCAGTAGAGGTGGTGGGGCAGCAATTAGGGTGGGGGAGACCCTGGATCTGGGCGGCTGGAAGAAAAAAGAAAACGCTTGAGCACTAAGGAAGAGATGCTGGGGATTGGTACATTAGAAACTCGTTTTTCCTGTTTTAGAATTTTGCTGAGAGGCAGTATTCCATGCATAATATGTGTTTGTAGAAATGGATTGTTATTGGTACAAATGATGGGTCTCATCTGTGTGAAGAAAGGTTTAAGAAATCATTTTGAGTGTATTCAGAGTGCTTTGAATGCTAGTATGAGGTGTGGAAGCAGGGAGCAAGGTAGATAGCACCTCTGAATGGATGCATAGCATAACTGTTGTGCCTGGTGTCTGACTCTCTTTCCAGGTGAGAACTCTTGGGGAGAGAGTGGTTCTGTATGTTCTGAACCGGATTATTTATAGAAAACAGGAAATGGAGAGAAATGAGATACCATTCCTGTGTCATAACAGTACTGATTACGCCAAGATTCTGTGGAAGAAAGGAGAAGCCATTGGGTTTTATTCAGTTAAGCCTACAGGTGAGTCTTTAAAAGTTATTTAAACTATATATTATGGAAACCTCCTTTTTAGACCCCAACTATAGCAATATCCTTTTAAATGACTCTTTAGAGTTTAAATTGAGGTGATTTTACTTAGTATTTCTTGGGAGTACTTTGATTCTGCCTTTCTATGTAAATGAGGATTGTTAGGAAAGTTATTTATTTATTTATTTATTATTTTTTAATTTTTTAAAAGATTTTATTTATTTGAGAGAGAGAGTGAGAGAGAGAGCACATGAGAGGGGGGAGTGTCAGAGGGAGAAGCAGACTCCCTGCTGAGCAGGGAGCCCGATGCGGGACTCGATCCAGGGACTCCAGGATCATGACCTGAGCTGAAAGCAGTCACCCAACCAACTGAGCCACCCAGGCACCCCAGGAAAGTTTTTTTTTTTTTTTAAAGATTTTATTTATTTATTTGAGAGACACAGGAAGAGAGGGAACACAAGCAGGGGGAGTGGGAGAGGGAGAAGCAGGCTTCTCGCCTAGCAGGGAGCCCGATGCAGGGCTTGATCCCAGGACCCTGGGTTCGTGACCTGAGCCGAAGGGAGACACTTAACCGACTGAGCCACCCAGGTGCCCCTGTTAGGAAAGTCTTGAAGAACAAAACAAAAATAAAGGTTTGACAGAGGGTAAGATTTCTCCATGTATGTGCAAAGAGAGTTGTGTGTTGAGCCTCATATTTGGCTGTCGTGACTTCCTTCCACGTCCTTCCCTTTATTTAAAGTGGTTGTTTGATTCCTGCTGCTATCACTGATACGGGCTCCTTTTAAAACTCTTGTCTACCTGTGGACCAAATGCATAGCCTTTGTCTGCCTCACACAGCTGATTCAACCTGATTTGTTAAAGGCAGCTTTGCTCATTAGCATGAAAAACAAAATAATATATTTAGAGAATTCAAATAGCTTTGAAATTGTTAAACTTCTAAAGTTTGGATTTTTGATCCTAAGAACCACCTATACCCTGTTCCTAAAAGATGGGTGGAGTTTCATCCTGCTTTACCTATTTTCCTGCCATTTCCCCTCCCTCGAGGTACCTGGAGCCAGAAAGATAGAACCTGCTTGATCTGTGTACACACATACACCCTCACCTTATAACCACCACATAACAAGTTGGCTTTTTCTGTACCTTGACCAAAAGACCTTTCATAGAGAACACTCAGATTATTTTCAGCCTTTCTCACATTTTACAAAACCTTCCAAATTTAGCCCTTTTGGTCAGGTCATGTCTAAATATCATACTGAATTCACTGTTGGTTTGCAGAACAGTTGTGACTGATACCTTAATCACGTAATTAGTACACACTTAAGAATTAGTGCATATAGTCAGTGAGAAGGTTACTTTTTCTCAAGAATAAAAAACTGTGATCTGTATAGTTTAAATTGGTTTGCTGTTTTATTTTTTTCAAGATTTATTTATTGGGGCGCCTGGGTGGCTCAGTGGTTAAGCATCTGCCTTCGGCTCAGGTCGTGACCCCAGGGTCCTGGGATAAAGCCCTGCATCGGGCTCCCTGCTCCGCGGGAAGCCTGCTTCTCCCTCTCCCACTCCCCCTGCTTGTGTTACCTCTCTTGCTGTCTCTCTCTCTCTCTCTCTCTCTCTGTCTGTCAAATAAATAAGTAAACTTAAAAAAAATATAAATATTTATTTAGTGTAGAGGGAGAGAGAGTGCACGTGGGGGGGGTAGCGGTAGAGGAAGAGGGACAGAGAGAATCTCAAGCAGACTCCCCGATGACTACAGAGCCTGACTTGGGGCTCGATCTCACTATCCTGAGATCATGACCTCTGTTGAAATCAAGAGCCGGGTGCTCAACCAACTGAGCCACCCAGGTGCCCCAGCTGGTTTGCTGTTTTAATAAATACTTGGGTTCTCTTTTAATATGCTATTTTATTCTTGTATAAATTCAGAAAGCTATCATTATCCAGGGGCAGAATAATAATGTTGGTTAAATGGAAGCATTGCATAAAAGGCATCAGTTTCTTTTAATGTTTAAAAGCTTTGGGGTTGAGATGTGTTTCAATTGCTTTATGCTTTATTTTATACAAGGTACTTCCTATGGCAATTGGAGGATTTTTTTTTTTTTTTTCTTTTTTTTAGCTTCTCATACTGGCTCCAGGGGAGTTCTTACCTGAAACTAGCTCACAGACATTGGGAGCATGTATTAGTCTATACTTACTTAGAGCTTGAAGGCTTGAAGGCACACAGTTAAAGGGCATAACATTTCTCTTTCAGTATTTCTGATCATTACTTGATTCCAAGAGTGTGCTTCTTTCTTTCATGTGCTTTTGGGTCTCCTTCTCTCCTCTGTGACCTGGCCTCTATTTTTGCTTGTTGTGGTAGTTACTAAATTTTATATCCTTGAGCTTTCAAGTTCTACTTGTCTACCACTTTAGCACCTTCCATACTTCTCTACTAATTGTATTACCTTCTTACTGTTTATTTTAGTTCTTTTCCACTTTAAGCTCTGGCTGTTATCTACCAGATAACAGTAAAATTAGGTGTGCTTGTATTAGCCTTTGAATTAATAACCATTTAATTCAGTCTGGAAGCATTTTTTTAAAGGAAACGCAAATGTACAATATTTTGAAAAAAACATCCAAAACATACTAAAACATTTTGTAATAGAAGTGTTCCTAATATATGTATCAGGGGAAAAAAAACTGTGCCAGTAGCAAAAAGATTAAATCTTTATTAAACAAATTTATAGTTGAATGAGAGCCTTATGGTATCACTTACTATTTATGATTTTTAAATTAAATAGCAAATCATTATATTGGGATGTTTACTGGGATGTAAAAATAGTTTTGATATATAAAAGGAGACTGTTTATGAAGTCAAATCCTATTACATTACAATGAAATTTAAGAAACTACATAAATTCTTTTTTAGCCTGAAATAAAGAGATCACTGTGGGGGACATAGAGTTTGTTTGTATGTTTTTTTTGGGTTAGGTAGATGTCAGATTATTAAAAATAGTTCTTTACAATAGATTGTGTGAAATCTGGCACATAACTCTAAGGGAGCTCACAGAATTGAATAATGTCATTATAACAAAAGGTTTTCTGGTCCCTTCTGTGGTTATTAAGTACTTTTATCTATAAAAAAATAGGAATAGAATTAATGCTGAGGGGCGCCTGGGTGGCTCAGTCGTTAAGAGTCTGCCTTCGGCTCAGGTAATGATCCCAGGGTCATGGGATCGAGCCCTGCATGGGGCTCCCTGCTCTGCAGGAAGCCTGCTTCTCCCTCTCCTACTCCCCCTGCTTGTGTTCCCTCTCTTGCTGTGTCTCTCTCTGTCAAATAAATAAAATCTTAAAAAAAAAAAAAAAAAAATGCTGAACCTTGTCTCCTTCTGGTATTAAGCAGTATTCATTCATGGATTCATAAACCAAAAAAAAAAGTGAACTCCATTTATTTCATAGGAGATGTATTTTCAGTAAAATTTTATTCTTTGCCTAATAATTAGTTTTCCAAATGTATAATACACTTGTGTTTTGATCTGTCATGTACTAATATTAATGATAATGATAACTCAAAATTTCTTTTGGATTGATAATTAGAACCTCATAGTCACAAGAAATTTGAAAAATTTGTATTTATGTACAGGTATGTTTTTGCAGTAAAGAACAGTTGGATAATAAATATGTAATCCAAGTGTAAAAATACATGACATCAGGATAACATTCTGCAGAATAAATACAATAGAAATAGAAGTTCAGGGGGCACCTGGGTGGCTCAGTCATTAAGCGTCTTTCTTCGGCTCAGGTCATGATCCCACAGTCCTGGGATTGAGCCCCGCATTGGGCTCCCTGCTCAGTGGGAAGCCTGCTTCTCCCTCTCCCACTCCCCTTGCTTGTGTTCCTTCTCTCACTGTCTCTTTCTCTGTCTAATAAATAAATAAAATCTTAAAAAAAAAAAAATAGAAGTTCAAGAAAAAGGAACATTATAAAATTGAGTGTTAAGGATAAGTTAGTTCAATAGTAAAGGAATAGTTAAGTGGATGATGAGGGTTATCAAATTAATAGTTTTTAGGGTCCATTTGATACATTTAGAAGAGTGATAAAATAATTTTTAATATTGTTTGTTAATTGAAAAGGTGAAAAAAGTAAATTTACATAGAGTATCATGGCAGATACCATGTTAACTAGTAGATCATGGTTAATATCACCAGGAATAAGACCCATCAGTATCATGGACTCCTAATCTATGATGTACTGAGAAGGGCATAAACATCATTTCTGGTATTATTGCCCCAAACCCATAACCTTCATTTTATAATGAAAGGACTTTAGACAAAGCCAAACTGAAGGTTATCTACAAAATAACTGATCAGTAATCTCTAAAAGTAATAAAATCATGAAAGACAAAGGTGGAGTAATTATCAAAGACCAGAACTAAAGAGATATTAAACTAAATTGAGTATGGAGCCCTGGATTGGATTCTGAAACAGAAAAAATGCATTATTGGCAAAACTGGTGAATTTTTTTTTTTTTAAGATTTTATTTATTTATTTGAGAGAGAGAGCACATGAGAGGGGGGAGGGTCAGAGGGAGAAGCAGACTCCCTGCTGAGCAGGCAGCCTGATGCGGGACTTGATCCAGGGACTCCAGGATCATGACCTGAGCCGAAGGCAGTCGCTTAACCAACTGAGCCACCCAGGCGCCCCGAAAACTGGTGAATTTTAAATAAGGTCTCTAGCCAACAGTATTTCATCAATATTCATTTCCTGGTTTTGATAATAGTACTTTGGTTGTGTAAGGTGTTAACATTAGGGAAGCTAGATGAAGGGTATATGGAACTCTGTATTTTTGCAACTTTTCTGTGAGTCTAAAATTTGTGTAATAGTTTCTCAAAAGTTAATATTGATAATGTGCTAGAAATTCCACCTTGCAATTATTGAAACTTAAGATGAAAATTTTAGATGTTACCAAAGATGTGTGAATACATGGTATTTCAAAATTTATTTAAAGGTTACAACATGAGCAAAAATGTTTCCTTTGAGGAATTTGAATTGGCCAACAGAAAAAAATTCCATAAATACCAATATAAGTGGTTCGCCTAGGAAATGTTGCAGTCAGATCATCCTTCTGTGAGGTTCATTGTCAGCAATCACCACCATGCACACAGAACATCTAATCAGCTCTTTAATGCCTCATTCATAACTTCGAACAAATAGCTTAGTTAGGGGAAGCCACTGATACGAAATATGGAGATCAGAACAACTTGGAAGAGACAATGAAAAACAAAACAACTATTGATATATGTGGAAGGTAAGAGTAGTCCTTACACTGATGGAATGAGGACAGTATATATTAAAAGAATGTCTGTAGAGCCCTTGGAAATTCAAAATTCAATGTACGGAAGATAAAGTTGAGGAAGTGGATCAGAAAGGAGAGCAACAACAAGAGAAAACAAACCCTAAATGATGGAAAATAGGTAAGAAAATTACAGGAATGGTCTGAATAATAGATGTTTCAGGAGAGAACAGAGAAACCAGAGGGGAAGAAGTTTCCAATGAGAAATAATTCAAGAAAATTTCTCAGAATTATAGAACATGCATTTCCACATTAAAAGGACCCACTGAGCATCCATCACAATGAATTAAAATAGACTTATACTGAGATAGATTATTAGGAAATTTCAGAAATCTGGGATGGGGCGCCTGTGTGGCTCAGTGGTTAAGCGTCTGCCTTCGGCTCCGGTCATGATCCCAGGGTCCTGGGATTGAGCCCCGCATTGGGCTCCCTGCTCCTTGGTGGGAGGCCTGCTTCTCCCTCTCCCGCTCCCCCTGCTTGTGTTCCCTTTCTTGCTGTCTCTCTCTCTGTCAAATAAATAAATAAATACAATATTAAAAAAAAAAAAATCTGGGATAGAGAGAAGATTTTGTAAGTCTCTGGAGAATGAGAGAAGCATTGATACAAGGGATCAAGAATCAGAATGATTAGATCCCTCCACATCCAAACTGCACACTAGAAGTGAAACAATGCCCTTAAGACACTGAGGAAGTGTGGTTCTGTGGAATTGGGAGTGGGGTGGATAAATGTATGTAAGAGCTAAATTCTCATCTTCCATCCTGGGAAGGCAGTTGCTGATGCCTAAAATGGAAAAAAATCAAGAAAAGTAGTAAGTTATTTAGAGATGTGGAAGTAAATACCAGAAAGATAAGCTAAATAATTTCAAAGTAGTGGTTTCTAGGGAGCAGAAAGTGTTTCTGTGTGGATCATGGAGGCAGTCAAAGGACTGCTTTTTTTCTTTTCAGTCCAGTAGGACTATTGTGCTCTAAGCAATGTACATATAAAACTTTGATTAAAACCAAAAAGTGAACAATTTTTAAAAATGAACTATATCCAGAATCTAATCAGTGTGTACCATGAAACTAGCTGAACTTTTTTTTTTTTTTAAGATTTTATTTATTTATTTGACAGAGAGATAGACAGAAGAGCACAAGCAGAGGGAGTGGCAGAGGGAGAGGGAGAAGCAGGCTCTGCACCGAGCAGGGAACCCAATGCGGGGCTCCATACCAGGACCCTGGGATCATGACCCGAGCCGGAGGCAGCAGCTTAACTGACTGAATCACCCAGGCACCCCATGACTTTCTTAATAACATTTTATTTTCTCTAGCCTGCTGTATTGGGAGACTACAGCATATGATACATACAACTTAACAAATGACTTTTATCAGTAAGGCTTCCAGTAAACAGTAGACTATTAGTAGTTAAATTTGGGGGAGTCAAAAGTTGTGTGTGGATTTTCAGCTGCTCAGGGGGTCAGTGCCCCTAACTCCCAAGTTGTTCAAGGGTCAGCTGTGTAGGTTTTTAGTCAAAGGGAGAGAATCGGCATCATTTTTTGCAATGAATATGTACACGGCAAATAAATAATAGAAGATCTTTAAACTTTGTGATTACTACTAGTTCCATAAATTTACCATTTCAACAATACAAGATGCTTTAATTTATCTCCTCTCCAGTAGAAGAAATGTTGGTGTGAAAAAAATCAAATTGTGGATAATTTCCTTTATATAATTACTATATATACTTTTGTAAGGAACCTGAAGCGTGTACAATAGTAAACAGCCATAAATCCTCAGACTCTGTATTGAGAATTAGAACTAGATAGTGCTTTCACTTTTCACTTTTTGCTTTCTCCTTTGAACTACTAGTGCTTATAATGTCTCTTGTGATTTTGTAATCACTACCAGCAGTTATGAAAAACTCTGATTTCAAGACATTAAAAATTAATTATGGTCATAGTAGCTTGTTGGTGAGACTACCTGTTAGACTCTTACAAGTTACTTGTTTATATATTTCAGCTTTATTGAGTAAAATTGACAATTAAAAGTGATACATATTTAAGGTATACAACTTGATAATTTGATACATGTGTACATTGTGAAATACTCACCAAAATCAAGCTAATTAAAAGATACTGCTGCAGGGGCGCCTGGGTGGCTCAGTGGTTAAGCCTCTGCCTTCGGCTCAGGTCGTGATCCCAGGGTCCTGGGATCGAACCCCACATCGGGCTCCCTGCGCAACGGGAAGCCTGCTTCTCCCTCTCCCATTCCCCCACTTGTGTTCCCTCTCTCGCTGTGTCTCTCTCTGTCAAATAAATTAAAAAAAATCTTAAAAAAAAAAAAAAGATACTGCTGCACATAGTTACCATTTTTTTTGTAGTGATAACACTGAATATCTACTTTCTTAGTAAATTTCAAGTATACAGCATTGTTAACTATAGCCATTCTATAAGACCTTTTAACCCATAGAAATATCTTAGCTGAATGTCAGCAGTTAGGATTTAAGTAATGAGAATTACTTATTCTAAGCTTAAATTAGTTGATAGTCTAGAAAGTGTTACAGAAAGTTACTGAAATTCTCCAATTTAGTCATAAATAATTCAAATTATTTCGTTGAACTAAAAAAAGATCTTGTTACATTGACCAGTTCATCAAATAATATGATTGGTACAAGTCAGTTTGTGAGATGTTTGTTACCTGAAATTTTATGTCTTCCTTGAACTGCATTAGTGGAATTATCTGAAATCATATGAATAATCTGAGACAATAGGTTTATTTATTTGAGGCATAAAACGAGAGTATTGACTGATAACTGTGAACTATTTCTAAAATTAATGTTGAGAGTGGGATGCCCCACCGTGATGCCCACAACTTATATACTGTCTTAAAATGTGTTAAAGGAGCAAACATATCTAATTGGAGGGTCAGAACACAAATCAGGGTTCTTAAAAAGACAAATCCCCATAGCTGTTTTAATAGAAGAGGCATATTTAGTTACTATAAGTTATTTCTCCTGTTTAACCTTAAGCATACAGGATATTTAAAAAAACACATTTACAGCTCAAAGATTGCTGACTTAGGCATTTCTAAGACCAATGTTTCCATTTAGTCCTAATCTGTAGTCCTTAAAAATCTGGAAAACTGATTTGTTTCTTTGCCATCATGGAGTAGATAAAAACAGTAGACTACTCACTAGAGAAAGAGGGATAGATGGATGTTCAGGTACTCAAGTTGTAGTGAGGTACTTCATGCATTGTATACGATGTACAGTCATCACATACTCTTTCAGTTTTAAAATGTAATAGTTGATGAGTTTTAAAGTTGTACAAGTATGTAGACAGCAATGCATATTCTAGTATATACTTAAAAAAATGGTAATAGTGACTTGTATTAGATGAAACTGTTGACAAAATACATAGCTCTTCTCATTATCACATGTATACCCTGTGATGTGTACTAGCAGCTGGGAAGCATTTTATATTATGAAATTGATAAATTTCTTAACACTCTCGATGTAGGAAAAAAACTAACCATTTTTAGAAAGACTGTTAACTCATGTTCTTTAAACATATACACATATATGGCCTTTTAATGTGAAAAATTGTTGGGTTTCTTTTATGACTGCAGGAAGCATATGTGCCTCATTTCTTACCCAAAGCTACCAACTGCCAGTTCTTGATACGATGTTTGTAAGAAAGAAATACCGAGGCAAAGATTTTGGGCTTCATATGCTGGAGGACTTTGTTGATTCCTTTACGGAAGATGCTCTTGGCTTGCGGTATCCACTCTCCTCTCTCATGTACACAGGTAAATTAAAAAAGGTTAAACTATTCTCAGGGTCACTTCTGAGTTGTTTCTGCAGAATATTGTAAATGTGCATATAGCATTATTAACTAATTTGGATTCTTTGGGTCCCTAAGGGCTTCATTTTGCAAATGTGTCCTTATGTCATGAATACGGCTTTTTGGAGGTGTGGTGGCTTTTTAAAAATGTTGAAATATAATTCATATACCATAAAATTCACACTCTCAAAGTGTACAATTCAGTGGTTTCTATTACCTTTGTAGCTGTGCAACCATAACCAGTATCTAATTCCAGAACATGCTCATTACCCCAAAAGAAACCCTGCACCAGTTAATAGTCACTCTTCATTCCCCAACTCCTTCATCCCCTAGCAACCACTGATCTGTTCTCTTCTGTATGGATTTTCCTGTTCTCAACATTTCATAGGAATGTAATCATGTGATATGATTATATTATATAAGCCCTTTGTGTCTAGCTTCTTTTGTTTTGCATAAATTTTGTTAAAGGGCGCCTGGGTGGCTCAGTTGGTTAAGCGACTGCCTTCGGCTCAGGTCATGATCCTGGAGTCCCGGGATCGAGTCCCGCATCGGGCTCCCTGCTCGGCGGGGAGTCTGCTTCTCCCTCTCCCACTCCCCGTTTGTGTTCCCTCTCTCGCTGTGTCTTTCTCTGTCAAATAAATAAATAAAATCTTAAAAAAAAAAAAAATTTTGTTAAAGTTCATCCATGTTGTAGAATGAAGCAGTATTCATTCCTTTTTATGGATGAATAATCTGTTTTATGGATATGCCACATTTTGTTTATCATCAGTTGATGGACTTTTGGGTTGTTTCCACTTTTTGCTGTTATGAATAATGCTGCTGTGAACATTTGTATAGTTTTTGTGTGGACATTTCTCTGCACCTAGGTGTGGATGGAATTGATGGGTCATATGGTGACTCTATGTTTAACATTCTTTTTTTTTTTTAAAGATTTATTTATTTATTTATTTGACAGAGAGAGACACAGTGAGAGAGGGAACACAAGCGGGGGGGTGGGAGAGGGAGAAGCAGGCTTCCCGCCGAGCAGGGAGCCCGATGCGGGACTCGATCCCAGGACTCTGGGATCATGACCTGAGCTGAAGGCAGACGCTTAACGGTTGAGCCACCCAGGTGCCCTATGTTTAACATTCTGAGGAACTGCCAAACTGTTTTCCAAAGCAATTGTACCATTTTACATTCCCATAAATAGTGTTTGAGAGTTAAAATTTCTTTATATCCTCACCAACACTTGTTACTGTCTTTTTGATTAAAGCCATTCTTGTGGGTGTAAAGTGGCATCTTATAATAGTTTTGGTTTGCATTTCATGTTGAGCATCTTTTCATATGTTAAGTAGCCATTTCTGTGTCATCTTTGGGGAAATGTATATTTAGATCTTTGACCATTTCTTCTTTGGGTTCTCTTTGGTAGCTTTTAAAATTAAAAAAGAAAGTAATTTCAGACATACAAAAAGATGTAAAGAATAAGACGACAAATACTCAAGAACCATCCAGCATGTACCATCCATGAGAAATGGATCATTGCCAGTACCGTTGTACACCCACCCAATTAGTTCACTCCCTTCCCTGAAATAAGTATTAACCTCAGTTTGGCATTTATTTTCCCCATATATTTCTTTCTTTTTTTTAAGGATTTTATTTATTTATTTGACAGAGAGACAGCACAAGTAAGGGGGGGAATGGCAGAGGGAGAAGGAGAAGCAGGCTCCCCACTGAGCAGGGAACCTGATGCGGGGCTCCATCCCAGGACCCTGGGATCATGACCTGAGCTGAAGGCAGACACTTAACCCACTGAGCCACCCAGGTGCCCTCCCCATATATTTCTTAGACGTTTTGTTTCTGAGAGGGAGAGAGGGAGAGAGAGAAAGTGTGCATGCATACACGTGTATGAGGGGCGGGGGTGGGGCCAAGGGAGAGGGAGAGAGAGAACCTTAAGCAGGCTCCATTCCCAGCCCAGAGCCTGATGCGGGGCTCGATCTCAAGACCCTGAGATCATGACCTGAGCCAAAATCAAGAGTTGAGTGCTTAACCGACTGAGCCACCCAGGTGTCCCTCTTAGACTTATAAAGCATATTTATATATCCTTCAACAATATGTCATCTTGTTTAACATATTTAAAAACTGGGGCACCGGGTGGCTAAGTGTCTGCCTTTGGCTCAGGTTATAATCCCAGGGTCTTGGGATCGAGCCCCCGTGTCGGACTTCCTGCTCTGCGGGGAGCCTGTTTCTCCCTCACCTTATGCAACCCCTCCCCGCTTGTGTGCTCTCGCAAATATATTATAAATAAAATCTTTAAAAGAATTATATATAAATGATACATACTGTGTGAATTCTGCAGTTTGATTTGTATATTTATGTTTATGAGAATCATTCGTGTGGATTGACATAGCTCTATTTATTCATTTTCAGTGCTGTTTAGTATTCCATTGTACGAATATACCTTGTGGTGATATTTAAAAACTATTGGTGGATTTATATTTGCATTTATAAATGTAAATCCCAAACTACTGGTTTTCTCTTAATGAAGTAAGATTTAATCCTGGAAGGTAATTTACTTGAAAACTTTATTAAAATAGAATTTACCATTGATTTTAGTCTAACTGGAAATGTTTATTTCCACTGAAAATATATTTTTGTTCTAAGTTTGCTTCCCCTTTTTAATGTCAGAAATCCAGAAAACAAGAACCAAGTGTTGCGTGCCCATCTTGAATCATAGTTTCTGTGTACATACATACATGAGAATGGAATGAACCCTGTATTCAACTGGATAATCTGAAAATGGCTTTCCCCTTAAAATCTAATTATAGCTTTACTGAATTTGGGAAGGAATGTAAACACACCCACTGTAGGTAGAATCTCTTAATACTTACTCTTTTCTGGGGTGCCTGAGTGGCTTAGTCAGTTGGGCAGCTGCCTTTGGCTCTGCTCATGATCTCAGGGTCCTGGGATTGAGCTTTGTGTCAGGATTTTTACCCCGTGGGGAGCCTGTTTCTCCTTCTGCCCCTCCCCCCTGCTTGTGTGTGCATGCGCCCGCTCTCTCTCAAATAAATAAAATCTTTTTAAAAAAATACTCTTTTCTAATTCTCATGATAAATTGAATGCCAAATGAATTACTATTTTTGCACAGTCTGTGGGCTTTAGCTCCACTGATCCTTCAGGTTAGGTAGGAGATTGTCCAATAATGTTTCATTGGTCTCATATGCATAATTTTGTGAATAAGACTCTTTGAGGTGAAAATAAAGGAATATATTGAAAATAGCAAATTTTAGACTATGTGGCATCTCCATTTTCTGTTTCTTGCTCTTTCTGTCTGGTACAATGTTTATTTGAAGAACTTGGATTTCCGTTTGATTTTTCTCTTACAACTTAATTAGTAGTTCTTGAGGCTGCTAGATATCCAGTATTCTTTGAAATTTACTTGTTTCCATGACCTTTACTTGTTTCCATGAATATTTTTAAATGATTTAGGAAAGATTATAGTGTTGTACATTGTAAGCTTTAAAAAGATAATTTATTCATTCCACAAATGGGTAACGAGTACCACGTATGGATGGGCTTGGCCTCAGGTTTGAGTAGGTGATTAGCTAACTGTGAGAAGTTGATTTACACAGTACTATCATGTACCGATACCTAAAGGCATGGAATGAATAAGGTCTCATAAATCTTACGCATTTGGAATTTATCCTGGTGTACCATATGAGGTACAGGTCCGACTTTATTTTACCTGACAGGTATATGGTTAATATTATTTGTTGAATAATTTATCTTTTGCACTGATTTGCATTTATATCAGGTCAGCAAACAGTGGTCCACTGATCTGCTCTTTTTGTAAGTGAAGTTACTGGAACACAGCTATGTTCATCCATTTATATATTGCCTCTGGCTTCTTTTGCACTAAAATGTCAGAGTTGGTTAGTTATGACAGTGCTCATATAGTCTGTAAGCCTAAAATCCTTATTGTCTGCCCCTTTAAGAAAAAGTTTCCAAATTCTTAATCTAGATCATACATTAAATTTGTGTATTTATATGTGTATATTTCTTTTTTTTTTTTAAGATTTTATTTATTCATTTGAGAGGGAGGGGGAGAGAGCATGCAAGCTCTGGAGCAGTGGGGAGGGAGGCATGGGGAGGGAGAAGCAGACTCCCCACTGAGCATGGAGTCCAACACGGGGCTCATCCCAGGACTCTGGGATCATGACCTGAGCTGAAGGCAGATGCTTAACTGACTGAGCCACCCACGTGCCCCTGTTTCTGTATATTTCTTATCTGCTAATTTATTTCTGTTAATCTTAAGTTCCAGTACCTCACTCTTATATTTATTTTACCTTTTGGTTATCTAAAAGGACTAGTCTTCTCCCCCATTTCCTATTTCTGACCTTGCTTGTTTTTCCTGTATAGACTTCGGAATCCACTTACCAGATTAAAAAAAAGTTTTGTCGGGATTTTATTGGGATTACTTTAAACTTATATATTAGTCCCTAATAAAATATAAGATCCACCAAAAGACTGTTAGAACCAATAGGAGTGCTTCAGTCAGTGGAGTATGTGACTCTTGATATTGGGGTTGAAAGTTTGGGCCTCACGTTGGGTCTAGAGACAATTTAAAAATAAAATCTTAAAAAAGAAATCTCTTAGAACTGATAAATGCATTCAGTGAAGTTGCAGGATGCAAAATCAATGTACAGATATATGTTTTATTTCTATACACTAATAATGAAGCAGCAGAAAGAGCAAGTAAGAAAACAATCCCATTTACAATTGCACCACAAATAATAAAATATCTAGGAATAAATCTGACCAAAGAGATGAAAAAGACCTGTACTCTGAAAACTATAAACACTGATGAAAGAAATTGAAGATGGCACAAAGAAATGGAAAGACATTCGATGGTCATGGATTGGAAGAACAGTATGTTAAAATGTCCATACTACCTAAAACAATCTACAGATTTAAATGTAATTCCCATCA